CCACCCCACCCCAGAGGCAGCGTGCTCCGCACTGGGAGAGACTGGGAGAGCCTGGGGGCCGTCCCGGGGAGCCATTCCCCACGGAACCGGGGCTCCGGCCCCTTTTGGGGGTGCTCAGCACGGAGGGAGCGGCTGCAAAGCCCCGTCCTTGGGGTGTGCCTGCAGGAAGGGCGCAGCAGCAAGCAGGAGCCGGCACATTGCTTCCCACCGGGAGCAGACGAGCGCATCCCTTGCTCCGGTGAGCAAATAGGATCCCGCAGGATCGGGGTGGGGGGGGATGAGGCTTCAGGGTCCTGCCAGGGGTGGAGGTGGCCTCGGAGAGCCCCTCTGCCTGCTCCCACCTACCTCTTGCTGTGGCAGATCCTCGCCGGGAGGTCTCTGGGGGTGTCAGCGGGAACCTTCCAGCCCCAGACGGAGAGGAAACCACAGATCCTTCGAACCAGCCAGCCCCAGAACCTGGGCAGGGAGACAGACAGCGACGTCCTGGTGCTCAGAGGCCCTTCCAGGGTGCTCAGCCCCCCTCAAACCGGCTATTTGCAAGAATTTGAGCTTTTTTCTTCCCATTTTACAGCTGGGAAAACTGAGGCACCCAGCAGAGCGATGCTCCCGGCCACCCCGGTCCTTGCAGCATCGCCCCTCGCGCGGGCAGGAAACCTGCGGTCGCTAGAATCATGTGGGGGATGCTGCAGAGCTCCCAACCCCCCCCAAATCAGAGCTGGGCAGCACCCAAAAGGGACGGGAGCGAGGTTTTGGGTATCACAGGGCTTGTGCAGCCCAGCGCCAGGGCTGCAGGCGGCTGGAGGGGGACGCGGGAGCTTGGGAGCTTCCGTCTTTCTGCTCGTCTTCTCAGCCACCCATCGCCGGGCTCCGTTTTAAGCCGCCCCGCAACTCCCCCGAGTCGCTGCTGCGAGGGGAGAGATGAATTATTCAAATGGTTTGAGAGCCGGGAATGTTTCGGAGTGAATGGAGCATAATGGCCCGATTTGGAAAAATACAGCGGAATTGCTGAGCCCCCAGGGACTGCTCTGAAAGGGGAGAGGAACCCTCGGAGCCCAGCACCTCCGGAACAAAAAATACATCAGGCATTTGGCAAGGGAATGGCTCCCGGGCTCGGCGTCAGCTCCACGGCCCGGTTGACACCAGCTGGAGGCCTGGAGTTCGGGCCCGTGGGGAGGAGGAAGAGGAGGAAGGGTCGGGGAAGAGGCCATCGTGCCTCTCCCCAGGGCCCGGGAGCCGGGCTTGCTCCAAACCCTGCGTGCGTGAGCTTGTCCTTGTGCTGAAGCCAGCGAGGAGAAAAAAAACACCCCCAGCCCCCCCTCCCTCACCCCCTGGCCCCAGCCAAGCTCTTCCCAACAGCATCAAGATCCCAAGTTTTGTTTAAAAAAAGAAACAACCCCAAATCCTTGGCTCTGCAGCCGACCTCTCCTCCCAGCCCGAGCGGGACAGCAGCCGGAGGAACACGCCGAGCCCTACCCCCATCGCCGTTAGCCCCCGGCGCTTGGAGGGGCGGCTTCCAGCCCTCCCAAATATCATTAACCTTGGGCTAATTAGGGTTCGCCCAAGCGCTGCCCAGCAGAGAGCTCGCCCCATCCTCACCGTGTGTCCTCCTCCGTCACCCGGATGGCGTCGCAGAAGCCGAGGGAGGAGAGCTGCTCCTCGTGGAAACAGTCCTGGAGGGAGGACGTGGGGTCAGCTCCGAGGGGTGGGGAGGGTTCGGCTGGGGCCGCCCCGCCCCCGCCCCCCCCCCCGCCGCCGGGCACACGGGACCCCTCAGATGGGGTTTGTGCTCTCCGCCAGCGTCCCGAGATCCCAAATTCTCTTCCCCGCCAACTCTGCGGAGCCCAGGGCTCCCAGGGCCGCGCTCTTACCCAGCTCCTCGGGGTGCAGGTCTGGCAGCAACGCGCCAAGGACGGACGGTACTTGCCCAGAAAAGGGATGAAAATCTCCAGTTTCTGCCCCGAATCACAGACCCAGGTTTTCATCTGAGGAGGGGAAGGAGGGACAGGGAGGAGGGAGGGAGGGATGGCACGAACCCTGCCTGCCTGGAGACACCAAACGGTGCTGAACGCCCCCCCAAAACGCGCTGGCGCTGCGGGGAAAAGTCCTGCTCCCGGCGGAGAAATAAATTCGATTTATCCGGGATCGAAGGGGCGGCTGCAGGGGTGGGGGGGGACACGACAACTCAAGCTGGGTTCCCCCACTGCGGGGACGCTGCCCAGCCGCCGGGCACACGGGACCCCTCAGATGGGGTTTGTGCTCTCCGCCAGCGTCCCGAGATCCCAAATTCTCTTCCCCGCCAACTCTGCGGAGCCCAGGGCTCCCAGGGCCGCGCTCTTACCCAGCTCCTCGGGGTGCAGGTCTGGCAGCAACGCGCCAAGGACGGACGGTACTTGCCCAGAAAAGGGATGAAAATCTCCAGTTTCTGCCCCGAATCACAGACCCAGGTTTTCATCTGAGGAGGGAAAGGAGGGACAGGGAGGAGGGAGGGAGGGATGGCACGAACCCCGCTTGCCTGGAGACACCAAACGGTGCTGAACGCCCCCCCAAAACGCGCTGGCGCTGCGGGGAAAAGTCCTGCTCCCGGGGGAGAAATAAATTCGATTTATCCGGGATCGAAGGGGCGGCTGCAGGGGGGGGGGGGGGCACGAAAACTCAAGCTGGG